CGAGAAGATTTTCCCTGATAAATTCGAGCGTATATTTCATGAATACCTGAAAGTAGACAAACTGGTCAGAACAGACTGTTCCTGCATCAAAAAAAAAAAAAAAAAAACAGAGCAAGTACGCACATCCATGAGGACGGATTCGACAGCCAGGTGGTCCGGGCTGCCGATTTCGATATTGTTTTCTTGACATGAGGTGATCAGATACGAGCGGAGTTGAGAGCGCAGTTGGCCAACGAAGCGGTTGTAGTCGGCCCGAGATCCGAATTTGATCAGGCAGTCACTTCCTCCGGGCATGGGTTCGCTTGTCGACATCTTCTGCTGAGGTTGGTGGTGAGTTGTGGTAGGTCGGGTGCTCCATGGCCAGCATCCAAGTGGAGGCTTCTCTTCTCCTTTATTGGGGTTGGCCGTTGTGCTGAGTTCACGCGGCGGGTGGTCGATCCGGCGAGTCTGACCAATCAGAGTGCTCGATCGCGTCTGGCTGGGAACTGCGGGGAGCGTGGTCCGAATTCAAGACGCGCCTGAAGTCAGCCAGCCGGCGGCCAAGTCCTGCAACTGGGCACTGTCACGGGGGCTTCCCCTGGGATGTCCCAAGAGTATATAAACACCCTCCCCTTCAATCGGAGACCATCCCACCTCCAAGCTCAACCACCAACACAAACCAACCTCACCAGCCAACCAACCAACCAAACCCACCCCACCCAAAAACCAACACACACAACAATGTCAGGAGGCAAAGGAGGCAAAGCCGGTGGCGAGAAAGCTGCCAGCCAATCTCGTTCGTCCAAGGCCGGTCTTCAATTCCCTGTCGGTCGTATCCACCGACTACTCCGAAAGGGCAACTATGCCCAGCGAGTTGGAGCTGGTGCACCTGGTTAGTTGACCTCAAATGCTCACCGAAACAACCGGTTGATCTTGCTAACCCACTTCTTTTTGATTGATTGCAGTCTACCTCGCCGCCGTTCTGGAATACCTGGCAGCTGAAATTCTTGAATTGGCCGGAAACGCTGCTCGGGATAACAAGAAATCTCGAATCATCCCCCGTCATCTACAACTTGCCATCCGAGTAAGCTCTTTTTTCACCAAAGGATCTGGATCGTTGCCTTAGCTGACTTTCTCCCCTATCTCAGAACGACGAAGAATTGAACAAGCTCCTCGGTCACTGTGTTATCTCACAGGGTGGTGTTATTCCACAGAGTAAGTCCCAAACAAGCATACATCCTCCCTTTACGCCCTCCACATCTTCTGACTTCCTTCTTCGTCTACAGTTCACTCCGAGCTGCTCCCAGCCAAGTCAAAAGACAAAGCTTCCAAGGTTTCCCAGGAAGTCTGATCGTTCCAACTTTCTTTCGACTCTTATCTTTGTGTTTGCTTCTTGTTCTGTACTTCTCCCAACCTTCAAAATTTATGATAATCGGCTCTATTTTTAAATGTTGTTATGATTTGAAACAAAGAGTTGCAACTTTCAAAAATTGTAAATCATACAAATCCACACGAACTGAAGTCACGTGCTCTAACTTGCCAGACTTTCTGAACGGCTTGTTGAATCTTGCCAGACTTTATGAACGGCTTGTTGATTGCTTCGGTGGGGCGCTCTGCAAACCCTCGGTGAAAGAAAGGCACCTTGAACCCTTGTTCACACTCCGTTCCATGAGATCAATTTTCCCTACATTCACCTTTATTCTCACCGCGATTGTCATATCGATAATGAACCATTTTAAACCCTAGTTATCATATTGCATCTCCGGAAAACCCGACCCAATTAACTTCTTCAATAAAAGTTTACACATTTCGAGCGCTTGGAGGTAGGGCAGCCACCCGTGTGTTCGGATTGACATATCCCCAGCACCGAGCACCCGTACCCGTGTGCTTCGGGTGAATCAGGTGAATCACCCGGGTGAATTAGCTTGTAACCAAATCATCGATGCTTGCAAGTTGCAACATGGCTCCTCAGAGAAAATCTCTTTTGAGCTTGCCCTTGGTTACCGGTTGCATCTCAATGATCATCGCTTGAGGACCGATGAGATCTTGGGGAGCAACATCTGAATCTTTTTTCTCTTTAGACTGTAGTTGCAACTTGTTTTTTGTACATATGAATTGTTTTCCCTCTCAAAAATTTACTTGCTTTCCTTCAACTAGCACAAGTTAAAAATCCCATCCAATCTTTATTTCAACATCATCAGTTGAGAAATCATGCCAAAAGAAAACACCAGAAGTTCACAATCCACCTCAAAAAACCCAATCATTGAAATTGATGATGAAGAGCAGTCCTTCCTTCCTGCCAAAGTTCAAACCCAACCCTCAAAAAGAAGTTGGATCTGGGCACACTTCACCAAGTCCGATGATGGTAGTGAGGTAACTTGTCATGTAACATCGAAAGATGGCAAAGAATGCCTCCAAACAATGAGGAAGGATAAGACCGGAAGTACTGGTAACTATTCCGATCATCTGTTAAAGATCCACCACTTAGAAAATCCAAACAAGGCAACATCGAATAGTGGTCAGTTTACTCTATTGAATTATGTCAACAAGAACACCAAGGGTTCTAAGATGACGCCTGAGGTAGTTCTATTTTTAATTAGGAAAAATGGGATGGTTTCAATTCTGACATGAATACTCTTTGTAGCTTGAGATGAATCCAGAAACACTCAAAGATGCCCTTGTGTATTTCCTGGCCGAGTGTAACCTTCCTTTTTTGTTGGTTGAGCATAAGTCTTTCCGGGATCTCCTTCACCTTCTCAATCGCAACACGTACTCTTTTGGAAAAACGTGCATTTCCTCTCACCTTGCCAAAGTGTATATCCGAACTTCAGAAATCATCAAGATGCAGTGTATTTCCACCCAAAAATTCCTCTCATTCACCAAAGACGCTTGGACTTCTCCAAAGGTTGCTGCCTTTATGGCAGTCACTGTACACTTTATCAATGATGAGTTTGAAATGAAGGATTTGACTTTGTCAATTCCCTACGTTCAGGGTGAGCATCATTCAATAAAATTGTGGCTGTGTTCTGATTCTCACTTTCCATCTCTGTTATTGATCATTACCAAGGTCCACATAGCGGGGAGTGTAAATATTTGCACAAAGTCGTAATGACAAGATCCCCTGATGAGATAGAATGAAATGAGTCGAGTTGTTCCATGTAACAACGATGACACCTGATAACACCACACACCTGATGAGATAGAATGAAATGAGTTGAGTTGTTCCACGTAACAACGACGACACCTGATAACACCACACACCTGCACAACAAGCGAGCAACACAATGTGGTATGTCCATACCTTTCCATGTATCCTCATTTTTCACATCATTCTACAAATATTCTTCCCATTATTATTTCATATTCAGACTCTACACAATATTTCACCCCTAGTCACCTCTTACAGCTTTTCAGTATCTCTTATAGTTCTCTAGTTATCATCTCTTCAGTATATTCATAGTTCCAGAACAGTACATTACTTTATACATACAGTACATATACATTACACATTATATAGTTACAGTCTCTATGTAGAATCACTCATTCATCATGGTACATCATCATTACTACATACTACACTGCATATTCAGCATAACCATAACTACATACATCAATCAGGATAACCTTAACCACATTACATCATGTACATATTTCCTTTCACACTGCTTTGACTTTCCATACCTGATTAACACTTGTATACACAGAACATCTGTCTCTTAGCTACATTATTTCTCATCACTTATTACTGTTTAAGATTTACATTACCCATAGCCAGGATTTCCCCAGCCATGGTGCCTTGCTGTTGTATGTACATGTTGTACACATATATACTCTTTCTTCCCTCTCATGTATTTTCCCCCTGATGCTATGTACCCTGCCTGAATTATCTTCTAACCACAGTCTTAGAAATCAGAAATACTAGTATCACCCTGATATCTTTACCAGATATCATTGCCAGTTATATTTGCCAGTTATACATCCCCCCTTGCCAGTTATAAATCCTCAATTGCCAGTTATAAATCCACATTTGCCAGATTATCCCCTTTGCCAGCGCCATTACTCTTTGCCAGTGTTACACCCTTGCCAGTATTATCCCATCACACCTCATTACACCTCCTTCTCTCACCTCAGTAGGTACTACATACACAAGCTCTTCAGTAATAGTAGTCTAAGATAAAGTAGAAATCAGCCACACCTCTCTTCTTCTTTTTCTTAGTGTTACAATCTTCCCATTAGCATTGTACAGGAGGGCAGCCTCATCAGCACCTGTAGTATCAACTTACATTAGTACTAGTGTAGTTGTCTATATCCCCTCCAAGCTCTATCTCCCTGGTTGAGTAGTTCCACAACAAGCGAGTTAATAGAAATGAGTGAAGGACACGCAAAGAGTTTTTGATTTAATTAGTCTCTTCTTCTTCACTTGTGATTATTGATTAAGAGTGTGTGAAACAATAAAGGAAAGCCAGTGAGGAAAACAATCAAGAATAGGAAAGAAAGAAAAAAAATTGCTGTAGCTAACCTGATGAGATAGAATGAAATGAGTCGAGTTGTTCCACGTAACAACGACAACACCTGATAACACCACACACCTGAAAATTTAAGAAAACAATATGAGGTAGAGAAAAACAAGTATTATATATTTTGTTTATGTCTTAAAGATAATGAAAAGAAAAACAAGTAAGAGTGCATACCTGCACGACGAGCAAGCAACACGAGAGAGTTAATAGAAATGAGTGAAGGACACGCAAAGAGTTTTTGATTTAATCTAGACATGGTTTTAGGTTTGAAGAAAACAGAGAAAGAGATAAAGAAAAAAGGAGTCAGTGTTTTTGTTTTTTGATGATTTTGATCGGAGAGTTTTGGTACGGAAGTGTGATTAACTTACTAGTCTCTTTTTCTTCACTTGTGATTATTGATTAAGCGTGTGAAGAAAAAGAGACCAGTTCGTGTGGCGGGTGGTTGGAGTTTTGTTGAGTTGGAATATTCTGGGTTAGGTTTGGAAATTTGGTGGAGTTGAGAATTGCGATTGTCAGCATAGCTGCGTATTTTGATTACGCAGTTATGCAGGCTTGAATTATAACAGGGAGAACTTTGCCGAGCTCTTTGATGGTGTCCTGAGAAGATTTGATTGCTCAAAAAAGCTACATACAATCACAGCTGACAATGCATCAACCAACAATACCGTGGCTAGGAAGTTGTCAGAGTTGATCCCAAGATTCAAACCAGGAAAACATCTTCTTGGATGTGTCGCACATGTTATCAATTTGGCAGCTAAAGCAGGTCTTGCCTTCTTGGGTTCTGACGAGATGGAAAATACAGACAAGCCACTTTCA